TGAGCAACAAAATAAAAGTGCCACTACCATTTCATCCATGACTGCACACAAGAACCCTGAAAAAGACAACTTTATGTCAACAGGTTGCCAAATCATGGCTTCAACTTTCCATAGTTTATTTCAAGTACCTTCTCCAAACTTGTGGCAAGTGAAAATGCCATGGGCTGGCTTTGCTGAGAGCACTCTGGCAGCAAAAAATAACATGTTCCATAAATAAATAAGCAATGCTGAGAGTTTTCTCCAACTTCAAACAACAGGACTGATGGTACCCCTCACCAAGATGCTATGAATGAGCAATTATAATCCACCCCCCTGAGATCTGCTCCCTGCTATGTATTTCCCCTGAACTTCAATATTCCATTTGACCAAATAACTAGGAAAAGCCATGCCTTGAATGTCTCTATGCATTGTGCATATCCTGCTGTTGCACTGTTTGTTGTTTCTTTCTCACCAATTTGCTGTGAAGATATTGCAGATATTTCACCTGACAGCCATATGAAGCCCCAAAGTTGCAACTAGACAAATTAGACAGCTAAATTTTCCATGGATCAGTATTCAGAAGGATACAGGTAGTCCTCAACTTACAACCCTTATTTTAGTGACCATTCAAAGTTACAATGGCACTGAAAAAGTGACACACCTGTGACCACTGCAGCATCTCCATAGCTATGTGATGGCCATAGCCATGTATTTATGACAGCTGCACTGTCCCAGAGTCATATGGTCACCATTTGTAACCTCCCAGTTGGCTTCTGACAAGCAAAGTCAATACAGGAAGCCGGGTGCATTTAACAACTGCATGATTCACTCAACTACTTCAATGATTTGCTTAACAACTGTGGCAAAAAGGGCGTAATGTGAGGCAAAACAACTGTCTTGCTTAACAATGGAAATTTTCAGCTCAGTTGTAGTCATAAGTCAAGGACTACCTGTATAGCCAATGCCATTACTGCAATAGTGTACCACTGCTGAAATAAAACAGAAACCTTCTAATCATAAGTTTGGTAAGATGCAGAGATGCTAAAAAAGAGCACCTCCAAGACTCACTATTAGTGTTGTAACCCTTTTCATAAAAGTCTAGGAATCATATATCTCTCCTTGGCCATTTATATCAATGATTCCAAAACTCTGATCTGACAATCACGAGGTGATTCCCCCATAGCCTTTCCATTTTCACCAATCAAAACTGGTATGCTACCTGAGCCCCCTGCCTCCCCTTGTTCGCCAAAAGTCAACTGGCCAGACCAGGGCCATTTACTGCCTCAACCTGCCATCTCCCTGCATTCACTGCCAGTCAGTTGGCCAAACAAGAGCCAATTCACCAACTCAGCCCCACATTCCTGCATTTACCACCAATCAACTATTCATCCCCTCAGTACCCATCACTCAATATTCCCCACCACCCTGACCCTAACCCCACCAGTTAATAATGGATTAGTTCTGAAAACACTGATTTACTGAAACATACAAAGATGAATTCACAAGCTCTTGAAGTCAAAAACAAGAAGGGATTATTGTTTATTTAATTATGTGATTTTGGCACTTTCAAGAATCTACAAAGTTCACACAATTGAAGAAATGCTAGTTTAAATGAATAGGAGTAGCCGACAAAGGCCTTCTGTTAAGTTTTTGAAAAAGCAGAACTGGCAGAACCAATTGTTCTTAGTTACTATTGCAAATTTACAAGGGCTGACATGTTGGAACTACTACACCCAAGTTCTTCTCATGTGTGCTGCTCTTGAATCCGATCTTCCACATCCTGTACGTGTTTCTTTTGTTTTCCTTAGCTAGATGTATGACTTTACATTTCTCCCTGTTAAATTTTATTCTTTTGTTTTCGCCCACTTTTCCAGCCAAAATCTTGCGGAATTCCCCCCCCCTTTCTCTTTCTGAATACAGAGTATATAGTCCTTGACATACAGCCACAATTAGGACCAGAATTTCTGCTGCTAAGCAAGTGGTTAAGTGAGTCATGCCCAACTTTACCACCTTTTTGTTATGGTTGTTAAGTGAATCTGGTTTCTCCCATCGATTTTGCTTGTTGGAAGAAGGTTGCAAATGATATGGTGTGGATGCTGAAACTATCATAAATACATGCTGGTTGCCGAGTGCCAGAGTTTGATCATATGATTATGATAGTCATAACTGTGACAGTTGTAACTCTGAGGATTTGTTGTAAGTTATTTTTTCAGTGCCGTTGTAACTATGAACGAATGGTAAAACCATTCTATAAAAGAATGGTTTTAAGTCAAGGGCTACTTGTATTAGAAACCTCATCTTGTCCATGACTTAATTAAAGAGACTCATCTTAATTTGTCTTCCACTTTGTCTTGCTTGAACCATTATGCTGTTTGTATGTGGCTTGAGCCTGACAAAGTTGCAACTGTATTTTGGCCCAAAAAGTCAGTTGGCAGTAATCCTTGATCATTACAATAAGAGAAAATAGCCAATTATGGTTGGAGAGTATTTCTGTAGCTTCACTCAAGGATCAAAGAGGACACTGTACTCAATATGTTCGATTTTGCTCTTCAAGAGATCCATAAAAAGTATAAGGTCCCTTAGAATTTATCAAGGATAGGGCATATGGATCTATCTGTAGTGATATAAACACATAATCATGTGCCCAGCTATACATTTATTGGTAAATATATAATACCACAGAAATACTTACATTCAGTGGTCTTCCAGATTAGTCAAGCAAGCATTCTTTGGCATAGTATCTTTCCTTTCAAAATCCTACTCAACCACCACCATGCTCAGATTTGTTCAGCCCCAATCCTACTGGCATTTCATAACTGTTTGACAACCAATAAGTTCTCCCAACCACATAGGTTGGATGAGCTCATCACTGAAGTTTTTCTTGACATGATTATGATTGTGTTTGAGTTTGATTGTCCTTGAGTGCAATTGTACTATTCTTATGTTACTCTTGGGTACTGTTACATTGTTTTTATTCCATTGATTTTAATTCTAAATTCACCACCCAGAATCACAACTGCAAGATAGACTATTTTATAAATCGAAGTGCAGATAACCCTAAATTTACAACAGTTTATTTATTGACCATTCAAAGTTACAATGACAGTCAAGAAAGTGACTTATGACTGATTTTCACACCTACAACCATCGCATTATCTCCATTGTCATGTGATCAAGATTCAGACACTTGGCAACTGACTCATATTTATGATGGTTACAGTGTCCTGGGATCATGAATCACCTTTTGCAATCTCCTGACAAACAAAGTCAATGTGGAAGCCAGATTCACTTCAGAACTGTGTTACTAAGTTAACAGCTGCAGTGATTCACTTAACAGCTGTGGCAAGAAAGTTTGTAAAATGAAGCAAAACTCACTTAATAAATGACTCACCTAGCAACATAAATGTTGGGCTCAATTGTGGTTGTAAATATAGGACTACTTGTAATAAATAACTAAATAAGACAGTTCTCTGTGTGTCATGGCATCTCTGAAACTTCTCATAGCTTAGATAAGGAGTCCATACACATGACAGCATCCAAAGCAAAATCAAACTTCCAAAATCAATAACAAAATCAGTTTGCAATGGAAACTTGTTCCTCTTTATAAAATGCTAAGTAATTATTATCCAAGCCTCTCTGTATTTCTTTTGTGTACACAATGGCTACAGTCACTTTGTAGATTCAACCCCTAACTGACACCATTTATGAGACTTTATCATGAGTAAGTGCAAGTGATTGTAAATAGGCCCCAAGACATATAATAGCTTGTAACAGAATTGCCTTGTAAAAAAAGCCTCACCTCACTTGCAAAAATGGATATGTGGAAAGCATTATGCCAACGCTTTTTCTTGACATCACACTCTAGTCTAGTGTATGCGCTGTTAGCAATGGGTTTCCTGTCAGATTATCTTCATCTATCAAATGTCACTTTGAGTAGAAATAATGACTATAAATGTTTGAACTGTTTCTACTTTTTAATATCACATAGATAATCAATTGTATGTGTTGTGATGCATATTCTTATTACTTTTACTTTGGGTCCTACTCCTCACTCTTTAAACAAAGCAGCTTGCTTTACAATTTGAATTGGCATTCGTTCACTTTGGGATCATTCAATAATGCAGCTGGAGTATTTCTTTGGCTACTCAGTTATAGAGGCAAATCATTTACCCAAGCAGTGGAAACAGAAATGGAGAAAACATTAGGCATCAACAAAATAAATCAGTGTTCTGACACTCATTTTCCTTCCTGCTTCCTGCTCCTTCACTTCAACATACCCCATACTAGCTTAGAACACAGGCAAATAATGTGCACTGCCCCAGATATTGTAATCCAACAGTTTCAGCAAACATTGTATAATATTGACTGATGCAGGCAATTAGAGCCAAATAGTTGGAGGGTCATGAGTTGGTGACCCCTATCAAAGTGGAGCCACCTCTGGCTATTTAGGAAGAAACGACCACCTTTTTAAAACATAAAAATTGGTCTCAGGCAAACCACCATCCTTCCTACTTAATATGGACTACCTTACCCATTTCTTTCACTCCCGTTTTTATTCCTTCCAAGCTGTCAATTTCAATCAATCCCACCCAGCAATTAATTCCAGGACCTCTGGGGGTTAAACACACACTCAAATCCCACCACAAATAAATAAGAATGGCTGATGGAGCAGGCCTGGTGAAACCGACACCACATCCTGGATGGAAAGACGAAAGGAAGCGCCACGCAACTAGACTGACAAGGGCACCCATCTCGCCAAATGGGAACGACTTGAACCATCTAAATAGCCGGGGCGGGGGAGGCGGAAAGGGTTATTATATTCGGAAGGAAGGCATGAATCTTCAGGGCCCTGGCAGGACAGCAAGTTTTAGGAAGGAGAAATAGGCCAGGAAGCAAGATGGGCATCTGACCAGGGCATAAAGGGGGGGGGGAGGCAGGACGCAGAAGCGGAGCGTTCTCTCACTTCTTCCTTCTTCACCGATTTTGAGGATCGCATCCCTCCTCCGCGCTCTCTTGCTTACCAGAGTAGCGGGCCGATTCCAGCTACCTTTCCTGCGGGCTCGAGTTCTGTACGCCTTGCAACCCGCCATGCCGGGCCGAGCAGCGGCGGCAGCGGCCCTCACCGGCCTCTAGGCAGGGGTCGATTGCCAATCACGCAGCCAGGCGGATCTTCTAACGGCCAATGGGGGGAAGGCGAGGGGCACTCTTCGCTGCAAACCCTACGATTGCGGGAGAGCAGTGGGATTCACGCTGCCCAATCAGACGCAAGAAGGGTTCTCCCCCCCCCCCAAACTCAAGCATACCAAGAAGGCGCGCGGCTGTCCAATCAATGGAGACAAGGAGCGGAGGGGGCTACCGGACGTCCAATCAGTTGGGCCACATTGTCTCCCCTCCCCGCCGATCACCAGTCCTAGATGGGGCATTAAAAGGCTTTTTTAGCCAATTGCGGCATAGTGTAAGAGAACGGCCTCTTCCCGGCAGAGTTTGGAACGGCCGGGAGGGCAATAAGTAAAGATTGGAATCTCAGGTCTCTGCCCATCTGTTCTAATGGAAATTGCTACCGCTGCTACCCTCCAAAGGCAAAACGTATCACTTAAATGCGATAGCTAATGTAGATGTGTGGCATATAGTGAGGCGCCGTTGGCATGCCTCTATCTTCAAGGTCAAATTATGATTTGCAAAAAGAGTGCTCTGGTGCCAGCCAGAATAACTTGGGTGGCCATGGTATTCTTTGAGCTTGGTTGTTTTCTTCCAGACGTTTGATTACCCAATTAGGTAACAGTATATGGTGTTACATCTTCAAGTAATATCGATAGGTAACTTTATTAAAACAATGAGCTTATCCATGTTTAACAACCATGGTTTAATCAGTTAAACACTCCATCTGGATTTGGCTTCTGAAATCGTTGTTTTTACTTTATAACTTAAGTGTTTCCTGCAAACTCAGCCAGTACATTATGAGGACCCAGAAGGCTTAGTTACTCGTTGTGCAAATACTGCCAATATTGTCATCCAACAGGGTTTCCCCAGGGATAGGAGCCCCTGTAGAAAACTTCATTGCAGATCTGCAAAACAGTCCGGAAGCACTTTTAAGCAAGTCATCCTAGCAGGAAGAGCCAGAATAACCTTCCAGTGTAGAAAACCAAACCAAGGATTGACTGTAAACTCAGTGAGACTGAGCTAATACACTCCTACAATAGGTGGATGGTCCCAGGGATAACAACAGCCCTCCCAGTGGAATGACTGGATGGATGAGAGAATGGTATCTCTGACAAAGAGAGCCAGGAGTGCATGGCTGCTTGCAGATAAGGAAGTATTCCAGGATTAGGAACTGAAAGGGCAACCATAGGTGATTAACATGTCAACACCAGGAATGCTTTACCTGACTCCATTGTTACATCTTCAAACCCCCACAGCTTCAACCTTAAACTGTCTACTGTGGACCTCACCCCATTCCTAAGAGGTTCCTAAAGGGGGCGTGCATAAGCGCACTGGCGTTTATATATTCTGAATTAAATTTTCACTATCCTTTGGTTCCTGTCCTACTGTCTCACTTATTTGTATTCATTTCCTTTGTCCATGTCCATGTCCATGTTTATACTTATACCTATTATCTTGTACATGTTTGACAAACTAAATAAATGAAAAATAAATAAAACATGGGGCTGGAAACAGCAGCTCTCCGGATCCTTCATGTCATATACCACACGCATAAATCAATTTAAAGAAATATCAGCATTGTAGTTTTTAACATCCTCCACCTTCGTGGCTTAGCATATTAATCTATACGATTGTCACATCTTTGTCGGGGTCTGACAGATTTACTACTTAATAGTAAGCATATATATAGTCTTCCATTCTTTAGTATGCTTTCCATTTCGATATTCTGAATCTTTTCCCCCCTCTGACGTAGTTCATACTACTTCAAAGAAAATGTACCTACTGTATATCTATGACAGAATACACAAAGTAATGATAGAGCAATGGTTTAAAATAACGTAATAGAAAAATAACGTGATTCACGTCCCTATCTTTTACCATCCATTTCATCCACTTTATCTCTGGTTTGCACGGATGTCCTCGATCCGGGTCCTATCACCCAGCTTTCTATGTGCCGCGATTTTTTGACACCTTCTCATTTTTTCCATCCTGCTTAAGTTTTGCAGGTCCCGCTGCAAACGAGTCATAGAGATGCCGGAGAGTCAGGCGCGTCGTTTCCCGTCTCGTATAAAATAGCTGCATTCTCTCCGATTCTTCCCAAATCGGCCTTCTCGCAGCGCTTCCCTGGCTTTCTAACCTTGCTACACGAAATCTTTATTAATTCACCGGATCTGGAAAAGCAAAAATTGGCTCCTGGAAGAAAGCGATACGTTACGGCGGCGCCGAGACATGATCGCGGAACTTCGATTGAGGGGAGCAAACAAGCCGTTAGTCCTCTCGGAGTAAAACCGGCTCCCCTATCGTAGACGGAACGTACCAACAATTTTTTTTTTAAAGAGTAAATAAAGGGAAAATGCAAGGGGAAATTTGCAGAGGCAAATCTTTTTCATTTCCTTTGGGCGCCTAGCAACGTTTCTCCTTTTCAAAGCAAAAGATTGCCGGCAAACGCAATTGTGTAGGAATGCGACAATTGGGATCGCCTCAAAAATTTGGATTATGGTTATGAATCTATCTGGATTGAAACCAGAGATGGGTGTGGGTATCTCGTGTTGGCAGCTTCTTGGGGGTGGGGGAGTGGGGGAAGCTTCATCTTAGAAAAGACACCTCTGATTATAGTTTCTGAGCCCAACCACTGTGTTGATTCAGCAAACCAAGATTAACCCTGACCAAATCATTTATGAGATTGGAGTGAACCTCACAGTGTAAAGGCACCTTTATGGATTCATGTCTCTTTTGCCCCACAGCTCAAAAGGTCTCTTCTTGTCCATGAAGCTGTGTCAGAAGAACTAGGACATTCCAAAAGCAACAGTGTGATTCACACATTTGGAAGTAATCAGTGGAATATATATTGAAAAAAGTAAATGATGACCAGTTTTTCACAGTTACAACTTTTGTAGCATCCCAATGATCACGTGGTCAAAATTCGGATGCTTGCCAACTGGTTCATACTTATGACTTACTATGTCCCAAGATCATGTGATCCCTTTTTGCAACCTTTTGACAAGCAAAGTCAATGGGGAAGCCAGATTCATTTATCAACTGGATTATTAATTTATCAACTGTGTTGATTCACTTAACAACTGTGGCAAGAAAGGTCATAAATATGGACAAAACTCACTTAACAAATGTCTCACTTAACAGAAATTTTGGTTCTTAAGTGAAGGACTGCCTGTATCTGGAAGACACTGGGGGGATAGAAAAGCTAGATGTGGTTAATTCAGCCTTCTGGCTACAACACTGATTATCTTGTTTCTGGAAGAATTTCCAGCATATCCTCTTTTGCTCTATTCAGTTGCCTGCAAACGTGCACTGCTTGGCCCAACCACGTTACAATGTTTCCTAGTGAAATGGACTACTACTAATTGTGCAGTGGCTGTTTTGAATTTCTACTTTTAGTAACACCAAATAGAAGTAGAGGCAAGAAAGGTACCGGGTTCTGTAGCATCACCCTGTGACCCGTCAAATGCTGTTTATTGCAAAACAAAGTAATATTTTTAGAGTCCCTATCAAAATTACCAGCTGTGTATAAACAGGTATCAGAAGATAAGTACCACAAAGGTAGGTTCAATTGGAGCAAAACATTTAATGTACTGAAAATTGTGTTCTCCCCAAGAAGATAAAAGCACAAAGACAATAGAGAAAACTATTCAGTAGAAGCAATAGAATGGAGACTGGTGAACAAAGTTTAAAGTGAGTATATGAAGAAAATAAGCAAGGATGTCCATAGGTTATGGTCAAAAAAATCAAGATGACAGCCTGGCTTTTCTATGTCAAAAATAACCTACCAGCTAAACTAAAATAACACCATTGTGGCCACCATCTTTACTTTTCTTTAACTATGTCCTGTGGAAACCCCTGAAAACATGAGTTATAAATTTCAAAAAGTTCAAAATGAGCTATAATACATTTAACAGACCAGGCTTTAGATGAAGAATATGGATCAGAAGGAGAAGTTGCAAAAGATTCTTGTCAAAAGATAAAGAAGGGGAATAATATAATTACAAAGAATAAGCATTATATCAGTTAAAAAGTTGAAAAACTACACATCCCCTTTCATCTTGTGCAAATACCACAGAATATGCTAACATCTTCCTCAATTTACAAAAAGTATACAGTTCTGCAAGGCTAATGTCTGAAAATAGCTATCAGCCAGAACTTTTCTTTTGTTCTGATTTTGCCTGATATCCTCATATATTTGTAATAGTGGCAAACCTCCACCCTCATCCTTACATATTCTCTGAAAATTTCCTGGGATTGAATAAACCCAGAAAGACTGCAGCAGAAAACAAATCTTAACAGGACCTCTCCCAAAGGTGCTTTTTCAAGAGGCAATGGGACTTTCTTGTTTTTCTATGAAAACATTTCGCTTCTCATCCAAGAAAATCCAGTTGCCTCTTTAAAAAGCACCTTTGGGAAAACCATGACCTGGTCCTGAATGATTGAGAAGCCATCCATAGGCATATAACAGGACTTGCTTCATAATAGATACAGATAAGATCACAGAATAAATGTCAACATAATATTTTTATGTTAAAAGAAATGATATACAGAAATATAGAATCCAAGATAATTAAAATATTAAATGGCAATATTAAATCATAGTGATAATATCTGTTTCAAAAATAGATTTGAAAGCAATAAATGATAGAAAAAACATAGATAAATGAATCAGATGTTTTAAAAAGCCAAAAGCTGGGGTATAGCCAAGCTAATAAAAGGTATTTTTGCTTAACATTAATTTGGGCATTTAGAAAATAAAAAGATACATGCAAACTGAATTCAATTGGGAGAGAAGACAATTATATTCAGTACTTCTAGAACATCAATGCATTGCTTTAGGCACTCTTTTTAGTTTTATACTGTGGAGTTTTTGTCTCCCTTCAGTATCAACACCATCTTTTTCTATTTTAAGTTCAGAAAGAAAGTCAGCCCATCATCAAGTACTGCCTTGCTGCAAGCAGCTGACCTAAAGATGGAGTTGATCAGATCTGGTGATAAGTTTTT